GGCACGCGCCACCATGCCCAGCTAATGTTTTGTATTTTTAGTAGAGACGGGGTTTCACCGTGTTGACCAGGATGGTCTCCATCTCTTGACCTCGTGATCCACCCGCCTTGGCCTTCCAAAGTGCTGGGATTACAGGCTTGAGCCACCGCGCCCGGCTCATTTAGGTTAATTTTAAAACCAAAATAAATGTTAGCACATCTCCTATATTCTCTTCAGCAGTGTTACTTTAAAATCTTTTTTTAAGCCAAGAATTATTGACCAAAAAATCGATTAATTGCACTGTGTTTTCTGGCTCATTTTAACATGCAAATGGTGGATAGGTGGATTGCTAAACTGTGAGTCACTTTAGTTTGTAACCTAGTTTGAGCCTCCTGGACTCAAGCTCAAGCAAGTAAAGTAAACTACCTAATGAATGTGCTGAGCCAGTTGTTGGTTCTCAACTTATTGGCTTCTTGTCCACTCAGCAACCTGTCAGTTGTATATCCTTTCTACACCATCCTTTGGAAGCTTGTCCTGAGGAAGCTTTTGCTAGTATCCAACAAGTTGAAACGTGCCACATTTGCTCAGAGTATAAGAACCAGTAAGCAAATTACTAATTTCAGTACCGCTGTTGGGAAAGACTGCTTTGTTCTTTTTTAGAGCTTTGGCCCTTGTATCCTTTTACTGGGGTGTATTTTGGGAAAGTGATGAAGTATAAGCACATTTTTTTGAGCATATTAGAGATGATGGAACTGTACACTTGGAGTACCAAGATGTACGTGAAACTCCATCTTGAAAAGAATCCTGGCCAGGCGTGGTGGCTCATGCCTGTAATCCAAGCACTTTGGAGGCCAAGGCGGGCAGATCACCTGAGGTTGGGAGTTCAAGACCAGCCTGACCAACATGGTGAAACCTCGTCTTTATTTAAAAAAAAAAAAAAGAAAAGAATCCTGATTAAGTAACTCCAGCCAGGAACTAATACCTATGATATTTTGTTCGAAGTTGCTTCATAACATTCATGTAAGCATCTTCAGAATTTGAACACTAAAACCTTATTTATCACTCAAGTGAAAAGACAGAGGATTTGAATTAGCAGCCAGGAAAGCAAAGTTTTACTCCAAGATTTTTCTACTGGGAAAAATCACATCTCTCAAGGAAGGTAAAAAAAAAGAGCAATAATTGAAAAACAATGCAAATGCAAAAAAAAAAATTACCTGTGTTTATTGATAGAGCATGCATGAGAATACTATGTATCAAATTCAGGACTTGGGCCAGTCACAGTGCTCACGCCTCTAATCCTAGCACTTTGGGAGACCAAGGCAAATGGATTGCTTGAGTCCTGGAGTTCAAGACCCGCCTGTGCAACCTCGGTAGATACCCATCGCTACAAAATAATTTAAAAAATAATTAGCTGGGTGTGGTAGCGCATGTCTGTGGTCCCAGCTACTTGAGAGCCTGAGGTAGGAAGATCGCTTGGGCCTGGGAGGTTGAGGCTGCAGTGAGCCAAGATTGTGCCACTGCACTCCAGCCTGGGTGACAGAGTAAGACCCAGTCACACACACACACAAAAACAAAACAAAAGAAAAAGCCCAACAATCTCCCACCTCCCACACATCAAATTGAGGACTTGGAGAGAGATATACCTCCTGATATATTTATAAATTTTTATTTTATTTTATTTTTGAGACAGAGTTTCATTCTTGTACAGGCTAGAGTGCAATGGTGTGATCTCAGCTCACTACAACCTCTGCCTCCTCGGTTCAAGCAATTTTCCTACCTCAGCCTCCCAAGTAGCTAGGATTACAGGCATCTGCCACCACACCCAGGTAATTTTTTGTATTTTTAGTAGAGATGGGGTTTCACTATGGTTGGCCAGGCTGGTCTCAAACTCCTGACCTCAGGTGATCCACCCACCTCAGCCTGCAAAACTGCTGGGATTACAGGTGGGAGCCACCACGCCTGGCCAAATTCTTATTTTTTAAGAATCAGCAGCAGGACAGGATTTGGGGCTCATACCTGTAAATCCCAGCACTTTGGTTTTTTTTTTTTTTTTTTTTTTTTTTTTTTTTTTTTTTTTTTTTTTTTTTTTTTTGAGACGGAGTTTCGCTCTTGTTACCCAGGCTGGAGTGCAATGGCGCGATCTCGGCTCACCGCAACTTCCGCCTCCTGGGTTCAGGCAATTCTCCTGCCTCAGCCTCCTGAGTAGCTGGGATTACAGGCACGCGCCACCATGCCCAGCTAATTTTTTGTAGCTTTAGTAGAGACGGGGTTTCACCATGTTGACCAGGATGGTCTCGATCTCTTGACCTTGTGATCCACCTGCCTCGGCCTCCCAAAGTGCTGGGATTACAGGCTTGAGCCACCGCGCCCGGCCGAAAATTAAAATATCTTTGTAAATAAATTTAAAATTGTAAAAAAACACGCACATATCATATTTTTTAATAATTCATGATGCAAAGAATGCCACAGAGTGAAATCAGGATTTGGAAAGAGGTAATCAATAGCCAAAGGTTAAAAAGGTTCATATGACTTGAAAATTTTTAGATCAATGGAATGCCACTTTGAAAAAGTTTTGCTGTCAGCTGTTAATGAAATGAGTTACATTTTTGGATGGGGTCCTATTCGGTATCTAGTCTGACTTTGCCTACTCAAGTAGTTCTCTCTAGTATCCTTGCCAGTCTTCCGCTTCTAAGATCTGAGAATTTCTGGGGATGGGGAGTTCGAGTTACAATAACAAGCACTAGTTTGCAGCCAGCTCTAGGGTAGTCAGTGTCTCTAACTCTCCACTGCTCCACTCCAAGGTGATTTATAAGATCGGTCCGTCAACCCTGCATTACATGGCCTCAGTGAAATAAAAACACATACTTTTTAACCTCCAGAGGCTCCTTTGGCAGTGCAAATATGTCACTTCGGATCTGGCTAACTACCTTTCCAGGCTGATCTTAAGCAACATTCACCAAATTACCGATACCCCAGACAGCCAGGCCCATTTCATCGGTCAAGCTCTCTCACGGTTTTCAGACTCTATTAAGCCCCTTCCTCTCCAGGGCTGTTAACAAGTCCCCACTGCAGTGAAGCTTTTTTCATTTTCCACTCCGCCTCTCCTCCTTAAATTAGGCACTGCGTCCATTATCTACTACAGAGGTTCTCAAACACTTGCACCTGTATTTTAGCACTTCAGGCTCAAAACGATGATCACACAGTGTGCGAGACTCTATCCAATGAATGAAAGGTCATTGTAGCAGGAAGGCGCCAGAGAGGTTATTTTTGATGAGGAGGCGGTCTGGACCGTACTCGCCTAGCCTCCGGTAGCTCCGCGGGCGCTTCGAGGGCTCCGCGCACTGAAAGGATGGGCGGGGCCTGCTCCGACGCTCCCGGCCTCCACGGGGAGCCAGCCTCCAGGTTTCCCGGCAAGCTCCGAAACCCAGAGGAGGTGGGGAAAGGAGGTCACCGCGCCTGCGTGTTAGGAAGTGTGACCCGGGTGGGAAAGCCCTCCGCGTCCGCCATTTTGGCTGCCTCTGTCGGTCTGTTCAGTTACCACGTGAACCGCCGACAGAGACCCGTAGTGGGGGAGGCGGCGGCAGCGTTAAGTGAAAAAGGGAAAAAGACAACGAGGAAAAAGGAGGTGTCCGGGTAGGGCAACGCGGCGACACCCGAGGCCTGGTGGTGGCGGCGGATCGGGATATTCAAGGCTGAAGCAGCCAGGGTACGGCAGCGGCGGCGGTCGGACAAACTGACTGACCGAGCCGGGTGGTGGCGGGAGCAGCGGGAGCAGCCGGAACGATGCCGGCCGTGAGCCTCCCGCCCAAGGAGAATGCGCTCTTCAAGCGGATCTTGGTAAGTGTGAGGCTCCGGGAAAGCAGTGGGGAGGATTTAGCCGGTAACCGGGCCTGTCACCCTTAACCTCGGCCCGGCGGGCACTGAGCTACTCCCGCCCGGGACCCCGCCTTCGTAGTCCTCGTCAGGCCGAATGCATTGCTTCGCCCCCTCTCTGTGGTTCCTACTTCGGCCCGCGCGCCAGGGACCACGGGCTTCTTCCTTCTATCCCCACGCTTGAGGCCCTGGTTCCGGACTAGGCCCCGACCTCCCGGCTTCTAGACTCCGGTTCTCATTCTCACCGATGTAGGGGAGAAGAGGCCCGGCCTTTAGCGGGCAAGTGGGCGATATACCGGCAGGAGTCGCGGCCCGGTTGGTATAAGAACCCTGCCGGCAGGCCGGGGTGCCACCCTTGGAAGGAACAGGTGGTGCGGATGCAGCCGGCTCATTCATTGCCTAAACGCGGTTCTTCCTCCATCATCTGTCCCTCCCTCTTCCTCCTGTCTCGGGATTCACCTGTCTCCGCCCGGCCCCAGGTCACCGAATGACCTGAGAGGAGGGAAAGGAGTTCAGAGGAGAGAAAGCTTTTCAAACGACTATCTCCTTGTAGTCAGTTGCATACTGGCGTCTTCAGCTCCTCTGCCTCCCTTGTTCTCTAGTTTTTGGAGTTGGGATGAGGCATTTATTTCTTAGTTTCCGAGCGGGAAACAGCCCCACCCCGTCACTTTGCTCGGGAGGTGGGGCCCATTGCGATGGGGCGGTTCGGTAGGAAGTCAAAAGTTGAGTCTTAAGTTGAAACGTTCCAGACCTAGACTTTTCTTACACGCTGAAGTGTACTAACACATGCAAAAACTTACCAGAGAAAAGACAATATAAAACTTTTAAGATGGATTTTGTAGACGCTAGGTCAAACTTATTCCCTACATTTCAAATGTGTGCAGTTTGCATTTTTTTAAACCATAAATGCATTGATGCTTGTAGGGACTGTTTACATTGTAAAGTATGTCCTGTAGCCTTGGAGCCTATAATTAATACATTGTAGCACATTTTTTGTTTGGCATTTGGTGTGTGGGTTGCCCCTTTCACGCAAACATTTCCTTATGATAGAATTAACTATGTTTGCCAAACTTAAGACTAAAATTTGGGATGTCTGTATGAAAGTATTAGCCTTTTCTCCTGCAGTTATAATTTATTTCACCTGTTTGAAAAGTAGAACAACTCTGGGGATTCAGTTTTTCTAGAAATAAATAATCATCCTGTTGAGCTAACTTTGATTTTACAAAAGTGTCCGTATGCCCTGCAGATTTAGTGAATTCATGTTGAAAAATATTAGAAAGTCACATGCAGTGTCGCAAAACTGTTACCCTGAAATTCTTATTGGCGTTTTGTTTTGTTTCTTCTAAGAGTGTAGGTGGAACTATAAAGTAGTTTTAGGAAAAAAGTTACTTTTAAACCCTTAAAAAGACTAATTGGTGTGCAGGAAGGACTATAACATAGGTTTTGGATAGCAATTTATCTTTAACCTTTTCTTCACAATTCTTTATTTTGAAACAAACAAAAAAAATCAGTCGGGCACGGTGGCTCAAGCCTGTAATCCCAGCACTTTGGGAGGCCGAGGCGGGTGGATCACGAGGTCAAGAGATCGAGACCATCCTGGTCAACATGGTGAAACCCTGTCTCTACTAAAAATACAAAAAATTAGCTGGGCATGGTGGTACGTGCCTGTAATCCCAGCTACTCAGGAGGCTGAGGCAGGAGAATTGCCTGAACCCAGGAGGCGGAGGTTGCGGTGAGCCGAGATCGCGCCATTGCACTCCAGCCTGGGTAACAAGAGCGAAACTCCGTCTCAAAAAAAAACAAAAAACAAAAAACAAAAAAAAAACAACTTCATCTCTAAATACTTCAGCAAGCATATACTAAGAATAAGGACATTGTCTTTTATGCTTTTAACAATAATTCTCTAATATTGTCTAATATCTGGTTCATATTCAGATTTTCCCAATTGTTAGCACTTTTTTTTTGTTTGTTTGTTTGAGACGGAGTTTCTCTCTTGTTACCCAGGCTGGAGTGCAATGGCGCGATCTCGGCTCACTGCAACCTCTGCCTCCCGGGTTCAGGCAATTCTCCTGCCCCAGCCTCCTGAGTAGCTGGGATTACAGGCACGCGCCACCATGCCCAGCTAATTTTTTGTATTTTTAGTAGAGACGGGGTTTCACCATGTTGACCAGGATGGTCTCGATCTGTTGACCTCGTGATCCACCCGCCTCGGCCTCCCAAAGTGCTGGGATTACAGGCTTGAGCCACCGCGCCCGGCCTTGTTAGCACTTTTTAAAGAAATCAAACTTTTAATTTTGAGAAGACTGTAATAATCACATAGTTTAGGGAATAACACTTTACTCAGTTTTTCCAACACTAATACCTTGCAAAACCATGGTTCATTATTATAACATTGTTACCATCTGCCAATCTTACATTCAGATTTCCTCTGTTTACTTGTACATGCATGTGAGTGCTTATGCACGCGTGTGCAGTCATCCCTTGCTATCTGCTGGGGGTTAATTTCAGGATCCTGCCAGATTACAAAATTTGCGGATGTTTGAGTCCCTTACATAAAGTGATATAGTATTTGCATATAACCTATGCATATCCCCCGTACACTTTAAATCATCTCTAGATTACTTGTAATACCTAATGCAGTATAAATCTGATGTAGTTATACTGTATTTTTAAAATTTGTATTTTTTGTTTTGACACTCCAGACTTGTCATCCAGTAACAAAAATTTGTGTTTTTTGTTCTTTTTTTTGAATATTTTTTACCTATAGATGCAGACACCAAGGATAATGAGAGCTGATTGTATATATTTCTGTGCAGTGTTATCCCATATATAGACTGCACCACTACAGTTAGGCTACAGAACAGTTGCAGCAGTCTAGAGTACCCCTCTGTTGCCCTTTTAGAGTCACATCCATCATCTGTCCCACCTCTCTCCCATCCCTTCCAGCAACCACTACATGTCCTCTATTTGTATAATTTTGTCATTCCCAGTGTGTTTACTAAAAATGATCATACAGTATACAACTTTTTGGGTTTAGAGATGGCGTCTTCCTCTGTTGCCCAGGCTGGAGTGTAGTGGCTATTCACAGGCTCTATCACTGGGGCCCTGCAACTTCAAACTCCTGGGATCAAGGAATCCTCCCTCTTCAGGCTCCAGCGTAGCTGGGATGACTATAGGACTACTGCATCCAGCTAATAGTTTATTCCTCTTTATTGCTGAGTAGTATTCCATGATATAGATGTACCACAATGTGTTTAACCATTCGTAGAGTAGCAATTTTTGATTAAACATCTTAAATAATTTTTAATTAAACATCTTAAATAATTATCTTTAAATAATTTTGTGGTAGTGTTAGTGGGGCAAAAACCTGTAAGTTCATTGCTAAAATCACAATGCTGAAGATTTATTGATAAGTTATATGTAAGAGAAATGTGAAAAGCACTAAATGAAAGAAAAGTAAAGGAGCTAAAATGTCCTTTTTGTTCTCATAAATTAGGAATGAAGAAAGTATTACTGACCAAAAGTATAGTATTGATTTTTTGAAATTGCTTCTGTTTCTTGAGATTTGGTAGTTAAGTTAGCGCTTTTGATTTTAAGATTTTTGTCCTGTCTGATAAAGGAAATGTTGGACATACTGTGATGTGTGAGCTGTGTGTAATTAAGTGTTGCTAGGTTGGTAACTTTTTTTTTTTTTTTTAATGAGACAAAGTTTCACTAATGTTGCCCAGGCTGGAGTGCAATGGTGTGATCTCAGCTCACCACAACAACCTCTGCCTTCTGGGTTCAAGTGATTCTCCTGCCTCAGCCTCCCTAGTAGCTGGGATTACAGGCATGCACCACCAGGCCGGGCTAATTTTGTATTTTTCCTAGAGACAGGGTTTCCCCATGTTGGTCAGGCTGGTGTTGAACTCCCGACCTCAGGTGATCTGCCCGCCTCGGCCTCCCAAAGTTCTGGGATTACAGGTGGGAGCCATCGTACCTGGCCAGTTGGTAACTTGTTAAATCATTCCTGTAGCATTCAACTTTTGAGCTGCTACTTTCTTTTTTTTTTTTCTTTTTTTTTTG